AGGCCAAATGTGCGGTCAACATCGTGCGTGTACCGTCAGTGCGTGTTAATTTGTTCGGGTCTCCGTAAGGCCTAACTCTCCAAGTCAAGTTGCTATTGTGATATAACTCGAATAAAATTCGACTTTGCTTTAGTCAAATTTAATTTAAGTCGAACTATATTTCAGTGGCACTTTCGATTCGACTTAGGCGAGTTTGACTGTACCTAGAATATTTTCAGATCATATACAATACATGTACGCACTACAGTTTTTATTTAATCTTGTTAAATACATCATTAATATTCAATTTCATTCAGTTTTTTAAATGTATTATTAATTTATAATTGAGTAATGTTGACATTTTAATTAATGATTATAATTTTTCATTTTCATTTTTATATCATTATATACCAATAGTTATAATTATATATCTAATAATGTTTATATTGCTTATATTATAAATGGTGAACAATATTGGTTAAATAAACACTGTATATGTATCTACAGTGTCTTGATGTACTTAGCCGACAAAAAAAAGTTGGATAATTGTTATAATCAAGAATACAAATATTCACAAGTGTAAACAAATACTAGTCCATTTCATACAAAATGAATAGAGTAAAGCATTTAAACCATAATTAAAAATAAAGCTACTCAGGTTGTACATGCTTTACATATCAAAACACAATACATAGGTTGAGCCACTGGCTGAAAGCGGACATCTTTAGCAGAAGCTTCCACTGCTTAGAATGTATCACTTATAACATCTACCTGCATCCTAAATAGCAATGCTAATTACGGTAAGCTCTGAATGCATACAATATTTACAATATTATAATGAGGATCAATGATATAGAAATTCATAAATTCTCATTACTAATACTCAATAGATATTTTAAAATGGCAATAAAAATGAAGTACAGTGTGTGATATTCTATATGATTGTAAGAAAAATACTCTAAAAGTTAAAACGGAATTTCATATATGCATGATTTTTCATGCAGTCTTTTGGAACACACAGAATGTCTTCTTTCTAAACCTTATATAAAATGAGCTGATCTGGCAAGGTTGTAATATGATTAGCTCAATCATTATGTGGTGCAAAAATCTAAAAATAATTGCAGTTTATATATGTTATTATTTGCAATAAATTCATAGCAATAAATAATTTAATCATTATAAATCAATTCAAATTTTGATCTTTTTAAATTGGCATGAAGTGCAATAATAAATTAATTAAATAATTAATCATAAATTCCATTTATATGTTACTGTAACAAGGAACCAAATCTCACACCATATAATTAACATTATCTTAAGAGGATATAAATTCTGTTTAGTATAGTTCATAGATTCATAGATTTATATACAGTTTTTAGAAATGTGTTAAGTAGAAGTATGTGTATGAAATTAATTATGGTGCTAAATTTACAATTCTATCAAAGGTGTTATGCTCTTGTCAAAATAGGAGAAAATAGGCCAAACTTATGAAATTATTTAAAATCTGGATCATATTTTTAAAATCCCAATGAAACTGATCATAATAAAGTTTCTTTGTAAGATATATCTATTCTCTGTGGTAATGTTTTCTTAGTAATAATTTATATAATAATAATGTAATATTTTATTTTTTTAAATTTAAGCAATTTAGTATTATATATTTTGTGTAATATATATGAATTTAATACAGTCATATTTGTTAATACCTCTATTTCATATTACATGATATGAAACTTTTTTATTTGCCTTTGAATTAATTTAAGTAATTATTATAATTTCTCTGTTCACTCTGCAATTGTGAAATATCTTTAGTTTTTCTTAATTTATCTATTTTTCCTGTACTCATTATTGTGTTGGTCATTTTAAAAGTACAGTTAATTATGTTCATTAATTTTTGCATGGACAGGTAGCCGTTTTTAGTTTAGTTAGTATTAATATGTTCTAAATGTAAATGACCATTGTTCAAGATTAAAGATTCAATTTATTGTTGTATATACAATTATACATAACATTTCTGTATATGAAATATTTTTTTGTTTAATGAATTTATACTTTTTATGAAGTAAAATGAAATGAATCAATAAATGATATATCTCATGATATCAAATTAAAATATTTGATCTGTTGGGCAAAAATGGTAATTAGACAGCAGCTTAGCTTGGCTGGTGGTAGACACTGAACAGTGGATATCCATTGCCAATTTCTCCCTGTGTGCTGTGTGTAGGTTATCCTTAGTGTGATTTACACCAAAAATACTCCTATTCTGTACCAATCTGAATGGATATTTGGTCTCTTACTTACTGCCCATTACTGCACAAATCAAAAAATCGTTATATATTTAATGATAACTATTTTATTATTACTACAGTAATATTTAAATTTACATACCTTTCTGTTGAAACAGCATTCATGATTGAGAAAAATTTTTATTCAGAAAATTCAAATTTATTGTATCTCAGGGCTATGGCTAAACCTTATGGGAGCAGAACACAAAGGACAAATTTGTGTCACAAACTATGACTTAATTTTCACTGGTTTTGCAATCAATATACTGAAGTGGAAATTTTCTGTACTCCCTGTGATACAGTATATTCATTATAAATGATTTTAGAAATATATTTGTATTTATAGAAAAATATTAGATCAGATTCAATTAAAATCATTAAAATTAAAATCATTGAAAATAGTGATTCTCAGTCACCCCATCGCTAAATGCTTGGCCATGAGCTACCTAAGCAGTCATGATCGGCTCTGCTTGTAATATATCTCTTTCTAACATTCATTACAATATGGAGGTCATTGCTTTTTATATCTTTTTATTATTCTTTTAATTGTTTATTTACTGAGGTGTGTAGAAGGTATGAGTTTATGTACTGTATCTATTTAATGTTTATAATTTCCCACTAATGCAATAAAAAGAAAGTGAATTCATATTTCCTTAATTTGAAACAAATTAAAGTTTTACAGAAAGAACCCAATTTCCTTGCAGCCCCCAACATTAGACAGTACATTCCCTCTTACTTCTCAGCCACTTCTAAATGCCAACACTTCCTATTCCAGCTCATCGAACACTCACCCTCCCTATTTTCTTCTTATTTTGACGACAGGAACCAGTCATGTAGTTAAACTAACAAACAGTGCCAATTATCTTCTATTAGTCTGTTCAAAAATCCTGGTAGTACTTAGATTCTCCATATCTATGCTTAAATCTAGTGAATTTAACATTGCATATTTTTTGTTGCAGTTATGTTTCTGTGCTAGCAAGGTAAAAAAAATATCTACTGCCTTATATATGTTTACTAAACAATCAGGAGACCGATCTGATAGAAAGGAAAAACCTGGCCTAAGCGAAACAAATCTTTGCTTATGATGCAATATCCCATCATGCACCTCATTAGATTTACTCTCACAAGTAAATTTCCGGACGATATAGGTGTCTACTTACCCTTGCAGGGGCAATGTACAAAAAGTGTAATTTATTGGGTATTTATTTTTAGTCAACATATCCTTTTACTAAATTCTATAATAATAATATACTTTATTTTTACACGGATACATTTGATTCACCCAAGGGTGTTTTTCGTCAATGTCGTGTAAGGCCATATGCAAAGTAACAAAATATAAGGAGAATATAAAAGGTTAACAAGTAGCAAAAAGGGATGGGGGGAATAGTAATCATGATTATAATGTATTATGTTTGGTTAAGGTTTTTCAGGGATTAACAAAATCAAAGATATGAGATATTTACTTTACCATCAGTCATATAAATTTGGTCTAATTATACTGCGCACAGCATATTCGAACATAGTTAATTGTGAATAACAATTGGAGGAAAAAGTCTTGTAACATATTGTAGACTCTCAACATGAAAGAATGTACATTGCCTATGAGTCCGAATATTGATTGTTTCTTATAAGCCTTTAACAGTTCTATTATCTACAATACTTATGCTGGTACTATATAATATTACTACATACTGTAATTTTAACAATTGTCAATCACTTGCATTGTACTTGTCCTTGTACATAATGGTACATGATTTTCTGCAGGGATATCAGTATCTAGACTGTTACTTTGTTTTTTGTTGGTTAAGTCCTTAATCAGGTAAACAATTTATATGTCCTGGCTTTGCTCCTTTTTACAGTATAGGCATCCCATTCCGAAAATTCAAGTTTATTATTTTGAATTCTTTTATTATAATATACACAAAACGTACTGCATTGATACTTTTCCAGTTTAAATGGTGAAATTTAACATACCATTCAACGGTTTTGGCCAAGTTAACAACATAAGATATACGTGAGTTTAGGCTGGTGTGTATGCTTTGTACCAGCTGGATAAAGTCTTGGCACCTTCATTTTTATTTATTTTATTCTACCAAGCCTTAATTCTTCAAATTGAGAGTTCTAAAGTTGGCTATTAAAATTTAGATTTCATTTAATTTATAACACTTCTTTATCCAAAGAACAATAAAACTGACAGACACAAAATAACAGAGAGGAAAAAACACTTGATTGGCCTGAGAGGATTGCCAAAAAGTGAACTAAATCACTGTCTAGTGGCTCTCAGTTGCCAATGAGAACATTAATTAGCATAAAATAGTCAAGTATTAATATATCACTAAGTATATATGTACAAAATTATTGTCATTGATAATAACACACAACAAATGATTTTAAACAATTACATGTCTTAAACATCAATATTGTGTAGCAGATTGAACTGCAATATCTTCTCGTACAAGCAATAGCTACGCACATGGTAATACTGTATGAGGATATTTGGAACTGTCCATTATCTGGCAGGGAAATTTTTGTTATATTAATTATATTCCTTTGTACCACATCATCTATAAAGAACCTGGGGTTTTTTTTGTAGTAATAATTTATGTAACAATAGTATGTAATATAAATAAATAATTAATCAATAATTAATAATTAATTAATTAGTAATTAATTAATAATTAATTAGATCCTTGTTGGTAGAACAATCATTATCATATGCTAGTTTTGTTTTTTCAGGGCTCAGAAGATTCCAACTATGGTGGTAGGCCATCAGATTCAGATTTGTCATTGGATGAGGATAAGGAAGCAGTAAGGCGAGAATCACAGCGACAGGCCCTCTCACAATTGGAAAAAGCAAGGGTAGGTATTAACATCTACTGTAGGTCTAATAAACTGTTTATTTTTATTGTAAGTGAATGGTGGAATGAAAGAAACTAAAAAAAAATGAGAAATTTTGTGAACAGGTATGAGGTAGTCTGTCCTTTCATATATGTGAAGTGATAATGATGATAATAGATTGAACGTGTCATTTTTTAGATAATGTTGGAATGACGCTTTGACGCTCTCCTGGCGTAACATTGATGTAAACTCTTTCGTATTCATTGGGTAGATTATGACTATTTAGTACCGTAGTGGACCAATGTTTAGCGGTAAGGCGGGGCACCACTAACTACAGCCTTAACATCGGTACTGAATTGAGCCACTCCTTGCCCAGGCTTCGGTTAGTAGAATCAAGTCTTCTCGGATACAGTTGGAGGCTAAGTGTACACATCTAGCTCGTGTGCACTTTAAAGAACCCATTGCATCTTTCAGGAGAGTAGGGGGTTACCCCAATGCTATGGTTCATTGCAGCCCCTGTCATGGAATGATGCAGGGGTGGCACTACTAATTCCCCGACGAGCGGTCAAAACTCTTCAAAAGGGGGTCTAAGCTTCCCGACAGGGGGTCCACACCCCCCTAGTATCCCCCACCCCTGTCGGCGAAAAAATTGTGATGGTATTCTTTATCTTTATTTTATTTATGCGAGTTAAGAGGCCCCTGTCGGAGGTACTAACAACCTCTCAGATGTAGCAGCCCCCTATCAGGAATATCTGGCATTACCACCGCAACCCATACGATCGCAATAGTATACAACACCTCCCACATACTGTAGCACTGCGCGCACTAAACAGTTTTTAATCTCTAAAATTTAACAGCTTAGTAATGCATATACCTAAATTGTACTTAAGGCGGTCAAGATTTCATTTTTCGCTGACGACCTTGCTGGAAATTCCCCGACTTGGATCCAAGCGGGGTTCTTTGTCCCCCTGGATCTCTGCTATCGCCGCCCCTGGAATGATGTGAAGTCAACAACATTCTCAATTCCCACCCATATAGTTTTAGAATCATTCTACTTCGCATGCTATACTTGATCTAGTTAATATCATTAATGCTTTTTAAAATAAAAAATCCTACTTACTTTATACTAAAGCATTTGATGTTATAAATAGATGTTATAGATGTATCGCATTGAATTGGGTTAAAAATTTTAGTTGATAGGAAGCAGTTCGTTGATTGGATCTTGTAAATTGTTGACGGGGGCTATAGCCTGAGATGTGTCACAGGGATCTTTCTTGGTCCGTTATCATTTCTCATCTATGTGAACGATTTGACACACTGCAGGTTGTATCCTTCGCCAACAATACCACACTTTCTTATTCAAATCCAAACCCTATTCAATACTCTAAATAATGAATTCCCTGAATTTGATGAGTGGTTCATCTCGAATAAGCTCTATATTACACACTCAAAACTGAACTTAAAGCCCCATTCCCAGCAAAATTTCAATGCATATGCATTACTCTATTTATTATAAACAATGGAAAAATATTGGCATAAATTTTAGATTTACGCAAAAGAATTAAAAAAAATGAGAACTCACAGGAGATTACCATTTTCTCGACGAATTCTTCGTTAGTAGGCAAATTCAGAGGTTATAGATTGCATCCGCTGGAATGCTCTCGCTTTACGTATACTTTATACAGTCAATAAAGTGCGCCCTCTCTAATGAAATTGGTTTTTGTACTTCGCAATCGCACACTGCGATCGATCGAGTAGGCCTAATTGTCAAAATCTCGGTCAGAATCATTTTCTGAACAGATTTGAAATAATTCCTATGAAATATTATATTTCACAATGTGTCAATACTAGCAACAGAAAATTTCATGTCAGCCGTTTTATGTGTGATAACAGAACCTAAATTGTGGTAAGGCTAGGCATTTATTTTTCATGTGGAACACACAAAATCAAATTTCAGTCTTATTTTACATTTTTTTCATGTTTAGGAATGTCTAAATTCAGTTACATTAGCAATTTCATATTACATTTATAAATCTTTATAACATATATAAAAATCAGATTTTTCTTAACTGAAATATTGCCGGGAATGGGGCTTTAAATAATCACAGTATTTCCTTTAATGGCAATTATATTGAGCAGAAAAGTCAGCTGCCTATTCTGGGTGTGTTTAGAAATTTTTATGTTTAGTTTTAATTTCAAATTTACAAGTCAATCAGTATTATATGTAGATTTTTTTTTTTTTCCATCTAATATCTGCTTTACATACCTTAATTCTTCCTTATCCTCAGTACTGTAATTTAATTTGTGCATCCAACTATTGTACATATCTGGAAAAACTCATTCTCATTATAGAGAACCTCCTGAAGCTCTTTTTAAAAAACTTAAAATGCTCAATATATACGATCGTCATAAAATACAAATAGCAACTTTTATGTATAGGTTTATTCATAAGAAACTTCCATTAATGAAATATTACAAGAGTGTTATCTAAACTTTCATCATTGTGAATGGCAATATTTGCTTAATTAACAAACAAAAAAAACCCCTGGCAAATTGGAAAAAAAAGAAAAACTAGAGACTGTTAAATTCATCAGAGGTTTCTAACCAGAACATGATCTAATTTTTAACATAAATGTTCTGAATAAAAAAGATAAGCTAATGCCCCTTTTGGTCAATTAAAACTGATGAGTAATAAGCAGTGATGATGTGTTTACATAATGAGTGATATACAGTACACTCTTTATATGTCTCAGAGGATTTTGTGCAGATACTTCCGTAAATTAGCCTTTTTTCCAATATCAATGTCGTCACCTAGCACAAAGGTTTAGGAGCATGTGAGCCAATTCGCTTATGCCATCACTTTTGATGACGAAACATTTGCCTTCAGTGGCTTCATTTTTTAAGCTATCTGACTGTAATTTTGGTATATTGAGGAGAAAGATAGAATTTAGAAGTATGAAACATTTTTTGGGAAAAAGTGATGGAGAAACTTGTGCAGTTAATGTTTAAAGCATATCCAATGTATTAAAAATTGGACGGATTATCATATGAAACATGTTCTTCTATGGTGAGATTTTCCTACGTACTGTGTAATTCAACCTATTAGGCCACTTTTGCTAAGGAATCTGATCATTTTTGGGATATAATAGCCATGTTCTTTCATAGACGAAAAATGGTACTGACGCGGGTTGGAGCCTCCTCCAGAGTGTGAATAACAATGATAGAACAAATCTAGTGTGCACATATTTTAAATTTTATACAATACCAGAAAATTTAAGGTAATAGACATTAATATCTAAATTAAACAAGCATCAGTATCATGTTAAATTTGAAGCGAATGATAAAATATCCTACATAATTTAACTCTCAAATATTTTTTATGATCGCTGTTTCACGGCACTGTTTTTGGTTACAACATAACACATGCTTTCTGTGAATCGTGTGTGAGACGCATCACTACTAGTAAACTGACCATGTTCTTTACCATGTATTTAGAAAATGAGCACAGCACCATAATGGAACATGTAAAGGGATCTTTTGCTACATGATAACAGTTATTTCGCTTCAGTAGTATGATACAAGTCAGTGTCATGCAACCCTTGGTCCACTTGGTGTGATGCTGTAAATTAATGGTTGTCCGTCAACCAATAAGGTTGCATGGTGTTCCGCCAGAAAAGTGGTCCGCCAAAGTAAATCTAGGCCTAGTGTATATCCGTGGTACGGTTTGTGTTAATGCCGATTTTTGCACTAGCTGTAACTCAACGTTTGCTTTGCTTCCTTATTAATATTAGCAGGTTTTTTATGATATACTGTACATTTTCTTTTTTTTAAGAATGTTATTTGTTTGATATAACTAAAATCACGTAGTAAAAATCCTGTTTTACTTTTTCCATTTTATCGTAGTCATAGATAATTTTGTACCCACCACGAATAACAAAAACTTCTAGGCTCCAGCTCTAGCCACTGCGAAAGTAATTTGTAATACTGTATGAACATCGAGTGATAGCTGGGTTAGTGATCGTTGTATGGCCTTTAAATTAGGAATTATACAGTTACAAATATTATTATTTGTTATTACCAATAATTATTAATAATTATTGAAATTCTTTCAGATATATTTGGCATTTTTAGTTCCTATGCATGTAATGCAATAGGAACTATTGTAATCACTCTGTCACATTTCTTTTGTTTTTTATTGTGTGTAGTATGTGTGTGCGTATGTGTGTAGACATTTATGCAAAT